ATTCCCTATAGAAGAGCCTCTCAAGTATCCTGGAATTTTTGTTTTGAGTGTCCTATCATCTGGTGATACTCACAAAATAAGTTCTTTTCTTCCGCCTCTAGGTCGGAAACAACTCGGTTATCTTCTAACCAAGATGTGAACTGAGGACTATCATTCACCATACTGAAAGGAATTATTGAAGTGAGTTGGGATATTATTGAGATATGATTGCTGCATAGTATTTTTAATTTCCTATTAGTTTATATCTGTATATTTTAGAGCATGGATCGTAACCCCTAGCTTTTTTTAAAGACATTGTAAGATTATATGGCAATACAACAAAGAGAATTCATTAAGTCTACAACTAAAACATCTAAGTCATCCTAAAAAGACGATGATCTTGTATATTATGTTTATATACGTGGTTTCCATGATCTTGGTTTGCTGGAGTTCATAAATTTCTATTAGTGTAAAATTAATTTTCTAGTATTAAAACTAGTAAATCATACAACTAAATTATCTAAGTCATCTTAAGATACACATGGTTTTTCAGATTTTTTTTTTTTTTATTTACGTACGTGGTTTCCATGATCTTGATTTGCTGGAGTTCAAAAGTTCAATTAGTATAAATTAAATTTGTGGTATTCAATCATGTAAATCTTACGACTAAAACATCTTAGTCATCCTGACAATTCCCATGATTTTGTTTATATACGTGGTTTCCATGATCTTGATTTTCTGGAGTTCATAAATATCTTTAAGTATATAGTTAAATCTGAGGCTATATACATGGGAATATGCTTATACATATCATAAATTATTTCTGTTTATAGCATAACATGTACATGACTATCTGTATATTTTAAGTCGCTTCCAATTCATTAACATAAAATAAGATATAGAAGTATGAACTTGAATTCTATATAAACCCTATAAAATTTCGTTAACCTACACAAAAACAAAATCTAACAAACAAACAATCTTTCTCCTACAAATTTATAATTTTCCTTCTTTCAAGATGGCTTCTAAAACTATTTCCATTGTTCTCCTCTTCAACATCATCTTCTTCACTATGGTTAATGCTCAATGTCCCCCAGACCAACTTGTTGTTAATGTATGTGCAAGTTTGTTGAATGGAGTGGTTGATGTTTCTCTGCCAGCAGGATCTTCTCCTTGTTGTCCCCTTCTCAGTGGTATCGTNTCACTATGGTTAATGCTCAATGTCCCCCAGACCAACTTGTTGTTAATGTATGTGCAAGTTTGTTGAATGGAGTGGTTGATGTTTCTCTGCCAGCAGGATCTTCTCCTTGTTGTCCCCTTCTCAGTGGTATCGTGGACGCAAACGCTGCCGCATGTCTTTGTAGTGCAGTTCAGGCTAATGTCGGAAACTTTGTTAACCTGAACATTCCAGTAGCAGTCAGCTTCACACTAAACCATTGTGGGCTTCCGACGGATTTTCAGTGCATTTGAATAATTTCTTATTGTTTTTCTATATTTCTTGCGTCCTTTTATGTCTTTTTGTTTCCAAAACAATAATTTGTTTTTTGTCTCATTTTGACCAGTACTACTGGTTATGGTTGCGAGTTTATTGTTTTTCTACTTGAGTTTGTTCCCTTGAGGTCTTGAAATTAATGTATTTAATAAAGTTTAACTTTGAATGGACCTATTTGGGCTGCAATTGTTCATTATCGTTCGTAAATTAGGTTAAGAAACTGAGTGTTCAAGATTAATTTTAAGAGACGACTAAGGGAAAAAGTTGGTCGAAAATCTTGTTTATATTAGAAGCCAATTTCCTCGGACCTGCTTATCACCAAAAGGGTGTTTCCGACGCCTGTTCATGGGTAGCCTGTCATGATACCCCTACTGTTCATGAGAAATTTCTCAACTAGGGCGAGCGTGGTGACTATATCGACCTTGGAGAATAAATCCCCCTTGTTATTTTTGTTGTTGGAGTTCATTGTAAAAGTTCGAGCGGAGTTTGTGATTACAAGTGTTTTTATTTGAAACGTGGGGAAAGGACATATCACTAACGAGCGAACACTCCGATAGGTTTTTGAAATTAATTCTTACTTCTATGGTTTAGAGCCTTCTGTTGTTTCTATGCTTCTATGTGACACTCTTACCGACTTGGGCTCGAGAATGTGCGGATAAATCTGTGACAAAGTCTTGCGCTCGTGGTTCAGTAGTCTTGCTGCCTCATGGTATTCCCTATAGAAGAGCCTCTCAAGTATCCTGGAATTTTTGTTTTGAGTGTCCTATCATCTGGTGATACTCACAAAATAAGTTCTTTTCTTCCGCCTCTAGGTCGGAAACAACTCGGTTATCTTCTAACCAAGATGTGAACTGAGGACTATCATTCACCATACTGAAAGGAATTATTGAAGTGAGTTGGGATATTATTG